TGAAGTAGAACTGTACTGAAGGATACGACCCTGGGAAATGAGAGCTCCAGTCTAGTCAGTAGCACCAAGCCAGAGAGAGATGCTAGGCATTAAGGATGACGTTTCCTGAGAGTCAGTTACAGTGATCAGTTCAGGGGAAATGTGCTATTGTGAGTTGTCACAGTTGTGTTTGCACTAACCAGATCTAAGAGTCTGAAGATTCTGGACACATCCTTCAGCACGATTAACAGGACCAACACAAAAGTAGCCATTTACCTTGCAGTAACCCAAGAACAGTGGCAACTATTGGAGAAAATAGCTTTCAGAGATGTGTCTGCTTCTCCTCTGTAGAAACGGAATTTGCTTGTCTATAATGTTGTAACAGTAAATTACCTCTCTTTGGAGTTTGCGTTTCTCAGCTTTCAGTTCATCTTCTATTTTTTCAGCATTTTCAGCAGCACATTTGTATCGAGCTACTTGACCCTCCAACCGTATTACCTAAGGTTAAAAAGCAAGTATACCATTAAGAACTCTGTACAGGTAAAATAACTTCTAATCCTGTCTTTCCTTTGGCAACCCAGTGAAGTTGGGAGTCTACACTGTGTTCTTATTAGAATGAAGGGCATGTTCTGAGAAATAAACTATGACACAGAGATGTCAGTTACTGGTAACGCTAGGTTGCTTGTCCGTATTTTTCTCTAATACTCTACTAACGATATGGGGAAATGCTTTAATGTATTACAAAAAATGTAATTTATCTACACCGAAAGTTAAACAGGGCAAACTTCTCTACAACCAGTGACTAAGTAGGGCCGTTCTTTCCTCCTGAAGAATAACTGTGTGGCTGACTTATGCAGGACAAAAGGCATAAGGAGCAGTGATATCCAACTGTGTTATGCAGACTTGTACTCCACACCATTTGCCTCCAGCCAGTCAAGTATTGCAGGTATCTTGATATAACCACGTTCTAAAGAGTTCTTGTATTTTCAAAATGCTGTTAAAACAGATCCTTGAAGTTGATCGTTGTTTTGAACTCTACATTTATAGAATAATATTTCTGATAAGTAAATGAAAGTATTTCCAGTCTGTGTGAACACAATTAGATCGCTCTGACTCCCTAACAATCATTTCTTCAAAGCTTCTTACAGCAAACAAGACTAAAGGCTTGCCTACGCTGCCTCAGAGTTTGGACTACAGGGTGTGAATAGCAGTGCACACCAAATTGTTGCACTGTAACTCCCCCATGTAGATGCTGCGGGTACTAACTGAAAGGTTCATAGTTCGTGTTAATGTAGTCCTTTTCAAACAAGACTACTTTACTCCTGGGGGAATGCTGCACCACTGTGCAATGCAGAATTTGCACAGAATTTCATTTTTCCCCTTAGAATTTGCACTGCAGAGCTGCTGGCCGCCCATAGAGGCTGCTGTACCCCACAAAGCCTGGCTCCCAAGCTCGCAAATAGAGAACACTGTCAAGAGAAGGGGGAGCTGGAGAGTTCCCAGCAGCTGAAGTTCCCAGCACGCCCCAAAGGAAGGAGGCAGTGTGCAGGAAACTCCATATGTGCCCAGGACTCAGCAACATGCTCTTTCTCCCTCTACATCTTTGGGCTCTGGGAGTGCGGGTGTCTGGCCCCATGACTGGGTTCTGTGGGGAGGGGGTGGGCTGTCTGGGCTGGGAGGCCCCACGCAGCTCTCTCTAACACCCCCCAAATATCCTCTCCTAGTATGGACCTCTCCAGCATCCCCAAATACCACCTCCAGCACTCCCCAACTATACCCCCTCCAGCTCCACCTCCCACTCCCCCCCAGCAGTATCCTCTATTTGGAAACCTCTTTATGGTAATCCTACGGGGACAGGGCGAAAAAATGAGAATCAACTAAAAGACCTCAGGGGCAGAGTTTTCTCCCAAAATGTGCCCAGCTGGCACGTGACACACCCAACAAAAGCACAAACAGAAAAACAGCAACTGGGTTGTTGAAGGGATTTCTTTAACTCTCTACTCCTGGGGGAATCTTTTTTTGTTGTCTGTATTGCAGACACGCTTGCTGACAGGTATGCATTTTGAAATAAATTACCAAAATAACTGAAACTGGCATGATTATATTGTGTTATTTTGACAAATAAAATATACAGAATTTTAAAATATCATGTGCAGAATTTTTAATTTTCTGGTGCAGAATTCCCCCAGGAGTATACCTCAGTGCGAATTAGAACCTTTTAGTTTGTGCCTGTAGTGTCCAGACAGGGGAGTTACAGCACTTTGGTCCGCACTGTTATTCACACCCCTGTAGTCTGACCTGTCAGGCAGTATAGACATAACCTTAGTTTATCATGGAACTGTATTTCTTAGCTTATCACTCACTCTCCATGTGCAAACTTACATTCTGCTCCAGAGTTGTTATCTCTTGTTCAGACTTTGCAAGTTTAAATTTGAGGTCACTGATTTGTCTGTTGGCATCTCCTAAAAAAAATTACAAATCTGTTATCAGAGATGTAGGAACAATCTGGACAGGGCTCCAGTACATAAAATGCTGGAGCTTTAAAATGTTGCCTTATTACTATGTGGGGCTGGCTGGTGGGCAGGTGGTTCATGCTCTGTGCTTTGGCATGAAATACTCTGTAAAGTTCCCTTATACATGCAAGTTGGTACGCATAGACACTCCAGTCCCTGTTAGCAGGGAGCGACTCAGATCACATTACTTGACAGTTCTAAGAGCAGAATTGGTAGTGTGAAGGGAGCCCCTGCCCAGCCCTACTTGATAATACAAGGGAGGTTTCTGTGCAGCATAGTCTTGAAAGCGGAAACTGAAACGCTACGGGCACCCCCCTCCTGCACCTACTGTAGAATCTTATCTAACTGCCCGTTGCACTGAAAATTCTATCAATGTAACAAGAATGAATTGAACAAGTGGACAGACAAGATAGCCTGTAAGTAACAGAGACTCAGAATTCAAGACTCAAGTGTAAACCAATATACCGCACATAGCAGTTTACTCTTAAAATGGAAATTAAGTTTACTTTGGAGATCAATCATGTGCACATCTGTCCCATTCTCAAGAACTTCATCTTCAGACTGCATATTCTCCATCTTGTCATTCTTCTGCTTCTCTTCCAGTTGTCCTTTTAGTGTTTTAATCTGAAAGTCCCAAAATAATTCATTAATTTCAGTGTCTCTACAGAGAGTGGTCCAAATCAATGTACAGACTGCCCCCCACAAAAGTTCAGTTGGCCAGAAGGAATGGTCATACTTAAATCATCTGTCTCAAAATATCCGTTTGTCATAAAGTAGTCTCCTACAAATTCCTTTGCAGCACTGTTTATCATGGGAAGTTATTTGCATAACAGGGTGTAGATTCTAGAGTAGAACTAGTACGTAACATTGAGGGGACAGAGTTATTGGTAATGAAGTTTATACTCTACATGCAAATTAAAGAAAGTCAGATTTTTTACAACATGAGTTAATGCAGATGAACAATCATAATAGTCCCAAAGGTCTCAAGAGAATAACTGACAGGAATCTTTATCCTACCTTGGAATTTTATGATTTATAGTTTCACCATCAATAATTTGGCTATCATTTACCCAGCTATTGTATTCCTATTGCATTTTTCCTTCTAAACTGTATGTTGTGAAACAAAGATTGTCAGCAGCTGTCCAAGGACACAGAGGGAATCTGAAGTAGGGCTTCCCACACATTCACGGAAAGCTAAGATTATGTCATGGAGGTCCTGGAAGTCACGGAATCCGTGACCTCCAAAGGCCTCCGTGACATTGGGGGCCCCACAGCTGACCAGCCGCTGCCGGCAGCAGGAGGCCCCCACAGCTGACCAGTCTCTGTGGGCGGTGGGGGACCCTCCCGCAGCTGACCAGGGTGGCAGGACCCCCTGCAACTGACCAGCTGCAACCCGAGCTGCCACCCACCACAAGCAGCCGGGGCCCCACCACAGCTCCCAGTCGACAGCGGCAGATGGACTCTGAAGCTGGTCAGTGGCCATGGGGGGGGGGGGAGGGAGAGGGCCTCCTGCAGCTCCCAAGTGCCGGTGCTGCTCAGCAGCTGGGGGAGGCCCCCCACAGCTCCCCAGCCTCCATCACTAGCAGGTCCCCTTTCCCCCCATAGCTCCCCTGCTGCCGGGGTAGCAAGGGGGACCCCCCATCAGCTCTCAGCCCTTAAAGGTAGTGCGGGGACAGACCTGCAGGGGGACCACTCCCAGCCACTGGGATCCCTGCAGCTCCCAGCCACGACAGGTCACTGCTTCCATGATTTTTTGTTTTTTGCCCGTGACTTTTACTAAAAAAATCCATGACAAAATGGTAGCCTTAATGATAAGCCTTATGCAAAGACAGGCCAGCATGCAGACTGTTTACTGTTTAAAGGGCTGTTTTCTCTGGAATGTTTTTGTTCTAAGCACTTTGCTTTAAGAAGGCTGTCTGGTCACTGTTTATCACCATCATTGCTTCCCGAGAAAGCAGAACTGCCTGTTGAGATAATCATGGTTAATTTTGGGGACTGTAGTGCAAGGCCGAGTCTGAGTAGGAGAAAAGCATGATTCCATCCCAAGAAAGGTGGCTGTGTGAGGCCAGAGACCTGAATGAGGCACCCTTGAAGAGACCAGGAGGGGTCTACAGTGCAGTTAGCCCTGTGACACATGCAACTAGTCCATTTGGGGTGGAGGAGTGGGGGTGGCGGGAGAGAAGAGAGAATCCCCTGTTCAAAATCCTGATAAAGTTTTTTATGAAGATTGTTTTTGAGTGTGTCCTTTCCCGTCTATGACTGTTTTTTGGCAGAAATCTGCCTTACGCCCATCCCCATAAATATATCTCCAGTGTACAAAGCTGAACCCAGCTCCTGTGGAATAAAAACACTGAACACAGGAAGGGAAGCAAAGCAGCAGCTGCTATGCTTTGTTGGGCATTATCGCCTATGCTCTTTATGTTATAGGAGTATTTTGTTCTCTTGTAAATCTCCGCCTCACCATGTTGCTTTACCAGGCATCCAGCAATACTGAAATATGTTAATTACCTGTTCTAGCAAGGATTCTCGTTCACCAATGAGCTTTTTCAGTCTGTCTGAAAGAGAAGAGAGAGAACTCAGTACTGATTTAGTTAAGTTACATCTTTCAGGGTATATATTTAATCAAAGAAAGAATTGTGAAGGTTAGTGAAACTAATGATGAAGGTAGTTATGCACGTACCACAGGAAATGAGGTCACAGACAGGACTGGGAAGGGGTTTCAGCCAAAGGAAGTTATGTCATTCTCACTGAGCATGCTTGTCACTTCAGTAGCAGCACCCAGCTGCATGCAAACAGGCTAATCTTCTATTTTAGGTTAGCATGCAAGAACTCTAGGGTCAAACACAACTGCAACACAAAAATCTCACAAATCTTTAAAATTTAATATCATTAACAAGAGATTATATACACCTGCAATCATTGCTAATCATACGTTAACATTTTAAAATCTTTACTAAAATCTTTGTAACTAAGTAGCTTGGCTACAACATTTTCTTTCGTTATCTCTAGTAAAACATTTGCCTGTGTGATTTTTTTTTTTTTTAAAAGAAATAAAGTCTGGTGAAGTGGTTCTCTCCATTTTAGTCCTTCAGGTCGAATATAAATAGGAGATTGTTAGCTTAGACAATTTGCTGTGTTAGAACTGAATTTTGAAGCAATAGGGATCAGTATACAAATACGAGCTAGCACACAGAATTAAAAAGATAATTTTGAGAAAAGAAAACTGAAGTAAACAAACACTCATCTCTTTCCTTTGAGGCAAAGGGAAACGTTTCAGCAGGTGCCATATGTTTTATGCAACAAGTGATTTTATGAACTGTGGAGCTACATTACCACCAAGTTGATTTTACCTTTATACTGAACAAAATACATTGAAAAATGTATTCCTTTAGAGCAGCTGAATTTGACCAACAGGATTTTCCTTTCTACAAGCTGCTCAATGTTTTGTTTTATACTGATTCTGTAGAGCATATATATTACTTTGTCCTCCCTACAGATAGAGAGACAGAGTGGACAGAAGTTGGTCCAGTAAAATATATTACCTCTGCCACCTTGTCTCTCTAGTATCCTGCGACCAACACAACTACACCACCACAGCACTCCTTACAGATAGGCAGTCAGCTACATAGAGCCAAACATAGGTGCTGAACACTCAACATTCTAAGAGTTTGCAATTGACAACTCACAATCCGTTATAGTTTTTACTGAATATATTCCTAAGGATATAATTTGTGTAAAGAGACCTACACTGTATGTTTTGAATTCTTTAAAATATGAAGATAGTAGGCCTTTTTAGATCTTATATATGGAAAAGGTCATCCCTAAATTATTACCCTTTTTCTTTGTTGACATACTATACTTAACACAGGAAATAACTGTGGAATCGGAGATACCAGTATATGGTAAATGAGAAAACGTTGACTTTTTAAATGGAAGCCTCTATATATGGCAAATCTACAACGAACAATGGTGATTCGAGATAATGCAGTGACTCATCACGGTGTGTGCCTACAGTCAGAGTGGTCATTCTAAGATTATGAAAATGCACCTTTTTATCTGTGGTGTCTGATACAACAAACACACATATCATAAGTAAGACGACAGTTCAGCACCATTGTACATCTACTGTATGAAAGCATTCAGCATTCAGAACTGCCCAAGAAATGGACAGGACACAGGGAATTTCAAGAACACCCATCTCTGTGGTAGCCAGGCATCTATGTGAAACCACATTTTGTATACTTTCTTGGGAAAGCAAAACTTTCCTGATATGAAACTGAAAGTGGGGGTGGAGAAGAAGGGAGGGATGGACGACTACCCATATATGACACGTTGTGGTAAGTCCTGCAAAATAAATAACTTGGTTTGAAACACATGTGCATATACAGTGGCTGAAAAGCAAAGGGAGGTGGAGAGCAGAATACCCTGCTTAAAGAAGGAAAATAAAGGAAAAATGGAAACAAAGCCAAAGAACAGAAGAGCAAGGAAAAATATTTCAAGGCTGGAGACAGGGTTGGAAGTCAAACATCAGAAGAAGACCCAGAAAGCAAACTGCTAAAGAACGAGGTTTAATATAGGACAGAATGTCCCATTTTAAAGTTAGCCCCACCTGCCAAATGGTCCATTTAATTCTGGAAGCTAAATTTAACCATGCACATATATATACACAATTATTACACAACTACCACAGTATTTACAGTATGGTACACATATGCCTTTTGTGTTTGAAATATATCTGCAGTGTCCAGAATGGAAGCACTTAATTGTCATAGTTATTTTTAGAGCTACCCGTTGCATTTTTGGGGGCACTTGCAAAGCAGTTTTTCACATCACTCCTCACAACATAATGGACTCCTGTCTACTTCAATCACATGAGTCTTGTGCAGGTGTGAGGATTTGTGGAAGGGCAAGTGAAATGGTTCTTCTAGGTAAAACAAAACGTACGTGTGTGTGTGTGTGTGTGTGTGTGTGTGTGTGTGTGTAAAAAGTTCTTTAGGTTCTCCCCTCTCCACCCCTCCTCACACGCATAGAAGAGGAGCCTGTACTGGGGTTTGTGAAGAAAAATCCACTATATTTTTATTTTGAAATGCTGCGGTTTTCTAACAAGCCAAGTGTCTGAGGGGCAGTAGGAGTATTACTCCATTCTACTGAATTCTATGGTGCCTTTTATATGTGGTAGCTAATTATCTTCTTTACGGGGTACAGTGTATCCCCATTTTGCTGATGGTGAAAACTAAAACAGAGTTTGGGACTTGACTAAGGCATCTGCATGGCGTGCCAGAGCTGAGACCTGGAGACAAGATCCCTTTGCCCTCCATCCCACGTTTAACCTATGTGGTGTCTCACGCTACTCAACTCTCTCAGTTGTGGCCAGAAGTTGCTGTGGCTGCCCAGCAATGTAGCTGGTCAGTTGCAGGAAACCAAGGGGGGAACTTGCAGGTGTCCTAGTGCCATCAGCAGCAGCATGGGCAGTATTGCTCCCCCAGGACCTGGGAACTCATTTGGGTTTGGGACCAGCCCCAAACCATGGGTTATGTGTACCCGAAAGGCCAGCGTGGCAGCTGGTTTGGGACCAGCCCCAAACCATGGGTTATGTGTACCCGAAAGGCCAGCGTGGCAGCTGGTTTGGGACCAGCCCCAAACCATGGGTTATGTGAACCCGAAAGGCCAGCGTGGCAGCTGGTTTGGGACCAGCCCCAAACCATGGGTTATGTGTACCCGAAAGGCCAGCGTGGCAGCTGGTTTGGGACCAGCCCCAAACCATGGGTTATGTGTACCCGAAAGGCCAGCGTGGCAGCTGGTTTGGGACCAGCCCCAAACCATGGGTTATGTGTACCCGAAAGGCCAGTGTGGCAGCTGGTTTGGGACCAGCCCCAAACCATGGGTTATGTGTACCCGAAAGGCCAGCGTGGCAGCTGGTTTGGGACCAGCCCCAAACCATGGGTTATGTGTACCCGAAAGGCCAGCGTGGCAGCTGAAAGGTGGTGGTGGGAGGACTGCAAGTAAACCATGAATCTTTAGGAAAAATTCAGAGTCTAATTTTAGGAAGAAGAGTACTAGGAACTTGGTCTTTTATATGAAAGCTGAGACTAGCGCTGCCGTTGCTAGATACCCAGATAAACTGGAGCCATTGGCCACTGGCTTTGGAGGGCCCCAAAGGCTGGCTCTGATCACTTAATAGCCCCACATACAAAAGAAACTATAGAATTTCGTTGAAGAGTCAATGAGTTTACTCCATGGATTTGTACTTTTGTTGACTGAAGGAGGATGACTGTAGCTCACGAAAGCTTATGCTCAAATAAATTTCTTAGTCTCTAGGATGCCACAAGTCCTCCTTTTCTTTTTTCTAATCTTTGGCATTATTACATAAACACATACTGGGAAGTCACGTTTCCTATATAACAGTGCACATTTTGCTGGGTGCCATCTGTGTAATCTTGGAGGACTGGTAAGTAACCATTTTTGCCCTATTATCTGTGGTTCTTTTCAAGATGATTTGCCTGCATGGAACCACACTCATGCAGTGCACATAACCCAAAGCATGCATACAAAATGAGTGGAGATTCACATCGGAAAATGACCTAAGAACTCAGAGGCCTTGTCTACACTGGGTATTTGCCCTGATTTCAGCAATTGGTGGCCAGTCATGGATGTAGCTGCACCAGTAAAAACTCTGCTACATTGATGGCTGGCCACCGAATGCTGAAATCATGGCCAATATCCAGTGTAGAGAGTGCCCAAATTTGGAAAAACAGAAGACAATATGACCAAGTTATTAAATGAGTCATAATTGTATCTGTTTCCCTGGCCCTGTACTAATGTTCTAAAAAGTTCTTACAGATGTGCACACGCTTCAGAGGAAAATAAACTGAAATATTAATGAAAAACTAGTATTAACTTTCCCGTAATTATGTCAGAAGTATTTAAATTACATTTCTCCTTATGAACAAGTTGTCTCCAGACATACCAAGTGCTGGTATATGCTTCAGTGGATTAGGCATCATTAACACATAACTATAAATGACTTCCTAATTACTGACAAAGTCTAGTGAGCACATTTATTTATATTCCATTTGAGATTCAAGCAATGAAAAAATCTTCGTACTAGTTAACTGTACTATACAGTAAGAGGTGCTTTGAAGACTTGTTGCAGTTCATCAGATTAATAGTGTAATGATTATATTCCAATATTAACATTTATTGTCCTCAATCTTAAGGATTGCACATTTTCATAGAAACTGCACCAAAGCTGCCATCACAGTGTCAGAAAGGAAGCCATGTAAAAGGCACTGTAGGTTTAAAATTACTGACTCCTGTAATGTCATATTAAGTTCCTGGGATGTGGAGGTCAAGGTTTCTTAGCAGAATTAAATAACATCAATTCTACTACCTATAATGAGCATGGAGGAAAATGGTCAATAAGAAGTTAGACGTTTAGAGAAATTACAATACATAAAGCGTTTGAGAGGCCACTCTGCAATGCCTTTTTACAAAAAAAAGCTTTTAGAATCTCTTATCAGTTTAGACTGAATTTTATGCAGGTTTGCAAGCAGTGCTCTGGACAGGTATTTTAAAGTATAAAATATGTTTATTTCAATTATATACAGCTCAGTACATTTGTGATATACATCTTGAATCTTTTCAATCTATTTGCACTCTACGAATTTTGTAACAGCAATACAAGCAATATCTTGCTATAGACCGCCCAAAACCTTGAGTTTGCATTCCCTTTTGATTTTCATTGCTTAAAACAAGTTTAAAAGAATGTTTCCTTTTGCAAAAAACACATTTCTTCCCAGCTGGTTTAAAATTTGCAAATAAGACAATTCTCTACAGTTTATATTCAGGCTATCACAAGCAATCTAGCTGTTGAGAGGTATTTTCAAAAAGGCAGGTTTGGCTACATGGGCACTAGTACATAAAGAGCAATACCAATTATCTGATTAAGACATTCAAAAAGATTAAGACATTCAAAATTGACTTCATCCTGGCAGGGAGGAAGGAAAAAGTATATTCAGAGATAAGAAAACATTCTTTCATAACCATATTTTTGCAAAAAAGACAATGTAATAAGGAAATGCAATTTAAACAAACTTTCCTCTAAGAAAAATAGATATTTTATAATACTATTAACTTTGCAAGAAAATGTACTTGACAGAAAATCTACACACACATTAGCATGTGTACCAAAACAATCCTAAAATAATAAAAAAGTACATGTGAGACATGATGTAGAAGGCTTATTCTGGTGCAAAGTGCCTAGATTAAGTAAACATGTATACACACTTATTCCTTTCAGAAGACTAACAGGTCAAAACATTTATGTTTTACTTTCTTAAACTCTATACTGTTCTTTCAAAGTGTGCAGACTAAGCAGATTCACAGCGACCTTACTAATATTTTGGCATTTTGTGTGTTTATCTTATATACCATGCTTTGGAATGTGTTCATACTAAAATCATACACAAAGTGGGTTTATATGTTGTTTTTATTTTTAGCTGTTATAGTTGGTTCCTGAACCTGTAGGTATTCACGAAGAAGTTTGGACATTATTACAAGTTCTGCAATGCTTGAGAGTTGCTTTATCATAGTTACCATAAAGTGGTGATGTACCTAACAGAGACCTCTGGCAGGTATTTAAGTACATTCAAAACATCTAATTTGCTTAAAACTAGTCTAGAAAATAAGAGCAATATTTAAGGTCCCTTGGCAGGAGATATCTGCCTTAAAGGCATTTTAACTCTATGTGAATCTGAACAGTACATTTGTGCTGCTTGTTCTTTTGGTGATAAAATATGAAACCTGAGAGATTAAAAACAAACCTACATGTTTAATCTCTGGTGGACATGTATCGCAGTAAGTAACTTGGATGGATGTCCACATATATAGATTGACACTGTACTATGAGACTTGCATATAGAGGAATTTAAAGAATATTTCTAAAGTCGGATTTATTGTGCAAAATGCATTTTTGTATTGAAACTGATCAAATGGTATGTAACTTATTTGGGTCCTCGATTTTGAACTCATGATATCACACAGTCTTCTTTAGATCTACCCTTGCCCCTTCTACTAGCTTGCATATCCTCTTTGCTTTCATCCCTAGTGTTGCCTAAGTTTCCTAACTCCTGTTCTGATGAATATTCAGCAGCTATTTTTTCCATATTATTGCTGTCTAACACTGCTTCATTCTCAGTTTCGTCCTCCACCAGATCACAGGCTTTTTCTGAAGCTGCAGACCGAGATGTATCAGTTTGCAAATGATCAGCTTCTTCAGCTTCCTTTTCTTTTTCCTGCTGGGTACTAGCATTGTCTTCAGTAACCAAGCCCTCATTCTCTACACTCTGTGTTCTGCTTTGATGAGTTTCCTCCTTTTCACCTTTTCCTGTTTTGGCAGTTTCTGTGACTATTTCCTTTTCCCTAACTTCCTCCAATGTTTGTGTATTAACTTTCTCAGCATCATGCTTTCCGGGAGTTTTTAATATCAGCCCTAATTCATCATCAAAATCAAATTTTTCACCATCATCTTCCACTATTTCCTCCTCTTGACCCCCCACCTCAACTTGTTCATTAGACTTCTCATCCAGCTCTGCTTTCTGTGTCTTGAGGTAATCAGCATCTTCCTCAACATCTGGAACAACTTCCAGTTTCTTAACTTCTTGTAATTCATGCTGCTCGTCTATTCCTTTATTCTCATCTTCCTCATTCCCATTTCCCATTTGTTTTGTATCCCCTTCTTTTCTGCTAAGTTGACATGCATCATCTAACACAGTTTTCTGAATTTCCATTTCCTTTGTGTTGCCTTCAAGGGATTCACTAAGTTGCTGTGATAGTTCTGTGATTTTCTGCAATGAACTATCATCAGAAACAAACCTATCATGCTGCTGGTCTGGAAGATCCAGCTTCTCGCTACTTTCCACTGATGCCTCTTTATCATCAACTTTCTCTTCAATAATTACACTGACATCTTGAGTCAATTCCTGTCTAGATTCATCTTCCACTTCTTTAACTACTTTCTGCATTTCATTTTCTACAGTCTTATCTTTTTCTTGTATTGGATTATTCTTTACTTCTTCACTGCACTTAATTGTTTGGGTTTCTACCTGTGTTCTCTCATCTTCCATCAACTCACTTCTACTTTCTTTTCCTTTCCTAGATTCATCCCACATTTCTGTGTTTGATTCCTCAATTTCATGATCGCTGGGACTAGTAACTAAAACAGTTTCTTGGGATTGAATTTCTTTCACAACATCTTGGTCCTGCTCTGTCTGATGCGATACACCCTCTTTTACCTCTGTAAATTCATCTAGGGATACCACAGGTTCCTCCTCTTCCACCCTTTTGTTTTCAGAATCTGGCTGAACGTCCAACATGCCCGTTAATTCTTCCATCTTTCCTGTGTCTTTTGTTTGTCCCCTCTCAGCAATATCCTTCTCATTCTCTGCATCATCTTGCATATTTCCTTCCTCTTCTGCAAATATCAGATCATTTTTTGAAAAAGTGGATAGAGTATGTGTTTCATCTGTTTTTTGTTCTTTTACAATTGTATCTGGTGTGACCTCACTTGCACATGCTGCTTCTCCCTCCTCTTCCACAGGATCTACTTCTTTCCTTCCCTGACTCTGAACTGTATTTCCAGTCTTATTTTCTTCTTCAGCTGTATCACTGTCATTTTTACCATCCTCTCCTTTACCAATTGTTCTGTCTATGTACGCTTCGTCTTCATCAAGCTGCTTCTCCAAGCTACTCATAACCTCATTTTCAGTGCTTTCTTCTGCTTGACAGAGACTCTCAGTGCGAGCCTCCACATGTGATTCTTCAATACCTGTACCTGCTCTTGTATCTTCTGGTGATCCTGACTGATCAGAAGCTGATGCATGGCTGCTAACCACAAAATCAAGAGCTTCCTGAAATATTTCACTACTGCCTTCTCGCTGGCAAATTGTAAAATCCTCTTGTGTTATTTTCTGCTCTTGTGCAAGTCTTTCAGATTCCTGCTCTATGTCTAAGTCAGTAGGTCTTCCCTGAGGAGTCTCAATACCCTGACTTTTCAGTGTACCCGTTTCCCAATTCTCATTAGTCAAGTGATTTAAATCACTACTATGTTCAGATTCCTTACTACCAGACTGTTGGGCTTCTAAGCTATCATCTCCTGATTCTGTTTCCTTTCTCAACTCAATTACATCACTATTTTCAGTGGAAGAAACATTTCCTGAAACATGTTCTGTATGGCTTTGAATTTGTTCCTCACATCCACTACTTAACATCACTGTTGATGTGACATCATTGTCTTCCATGGTTTTCTCTGCCTCTGTATTTTCATCAGCATGCAATGTCTTTATCTCCGTACACTCCTTTACAATTTCCCGCTCCTCAGACTCCTCTTTGTGTTCCTCATGCTCAGTATTCTGCAAGATTTCTCTTTTCCCCATATCCTCCAAAATCTCATCTTTCATCTCCACTTCATTGGCTCTGCCTAAAAGACCATTGAGAAAGTTGAAGGGACTACACCAAGGGGTGGCTACTTAAATTTGTTAAACATGTAACACTTACCTCCCCACTTAAAACCCAAAAGAGAAAATGAATTGAAAGAATCGGTTAATAAAAGATCAGCTTTTGCCAATTACGTGAGGCAAAGCAGCAATTGAATTAGTAAATTCTCTGATCAGTGAACCCCCCGCTTTCCCAAAAGCAAGAATTGTATCTGATTCTGGCATCAGATAAGTTAAAGATTTCTCTAGTTGAAGCTGTATGAAGTACAGCTTTCATAAATGAGATGAACATTTTTCAAGCAGTGCAGTTTATTAATAGTAATGTAACAAAACTCGCAGATTTAAGATTATGAGACAAAGGTAGAGGGTTTTTTGCTGCTAACAAGTACAAGCTATCACCATATTTTTAACCCTCACATTGCTCTATACTGTATTATTATTGCCAAGCTGTGTTTGTTTGATGGCATTACAACCAAATAACTTACCTAATACTCAGCAATATTTTATAGCTACTGACTTAAAAAACAGACACTATTTTATAAATAAGTGTGTATAATGAGTGTTATAGAAGATGGGATCTGATTGGCAGGCAAATGTTTTGAATGCATGGATATCAGACATAACCCACAAGGTTGAAGCTCAGTTATTTAGCGCTTCTTTCAGGCACTACATCCATCCAAAAGGGACAATATTTCTTCCCAAGTATTGTTTAAAAATATAACTTTTCTTCCAATTTGCAGAACTTTAGGAGCAAAAAAGCAGGTGTTAACCAGCACTCAATGTCAGGTATTAGCTTTTGTTCCAATGATGTACCTGTTTCCATAGAATCAGAATACGTTAGAACAGACTAAAGTTTTAGATACAACTTTTAAATATTCTCATATCCTGTTTTTGTTGTTTCAAATTGTTTTCACCCAATGGAATGAGAAAAAGCTGCCAACAGCTAAATCTGAGAAAACTCTCACTTCCAGTTAAATGGTTGGCTGCCTGTTGAGATTTGCTAGTATTTCAATTTAGAAGTAAACATCCAGTATTTTCTCCTCTTCCATGAGCATAATGAGACAGTGGAAAGTTCAACAGCTAATGAGTTCAGATTCTGACTATACAACATAATTGCACCAAAGTCAGAATCTTTGCCAACCAATTAGACTCCTCCAGGTTTGAGGACACACATACATAATGTATACTTCCTGTACACACTGCTGAGCATATCATTGTTATAAAATTTCCAGCAATATAAATTGCTTTATACTTAACAGTATTAGATATTAAGAATTCAAATGTTAAAATGTCTTGCAACAGCACACTGAACTATTGTTCAGCAGACATTTATGGTTCTCAAATAATACATTAGTTACAGAATTTGTACACTAAATTTACATATATGAATTCAAATGCTCTTATTCTGGTTCTCTCTCAGCTTAATTCTCTGTGTTAGAAAAAATAACCAAAGCAACAGTAGGATGGTTGAGGACATTCCTAAATTCAGGTTTTAATATTAAGCTAAATAAGCTGCTACTCATCTTGTATTTATACTTGTGTCATGACCATTTATTTTCTCAGGGTGCAGAATAAAGGGAATGTACAATAAAAGCTCCTTTTGCAGGTACAGAAAAATGTCATGATATGCTTGAAGTGAAGCAACTATAATCAATAAGCAGAAAAAGGCATAGGAGGTGATTCAAGAAGCTGCGTGATTGGTTAATTGTCTAAATAATGAATGCTCAATCTCCAAGCAACAAAAGTGAATGAATTATGATTAGACAGATGGAAAAGTCTAGTGCAGTGATACTCAGACCTCAGGGGTTCAGGAGCCAAATTAGCAATCAACATTACCCACAAGAGCCACAGTAGTGTGAATTCATTGTTTAATTTACTATAGTACTATTCATATTTAAACAGTGCGAGCTGATAACTTAATCGATTAATAACATAGTAAAAGCATCCAGCGTTTTAATATCACGTGCTGCAAAGAGCCACAGGAGACGCATTGAAGGGCCATTTGCGACTCACAAGCCAGAGTCTGAGTATCACTGCTCTAGTGGAGCCTGAGCACTTACCTAGTGTCCCATCCCCAGCTGTCTGTAAGATCTGAGTCGCCCCTGGAGTAATCTTGGTAGAATCTGAATATCCTTCATTATCGAGACCGTCTAAAGCCTCTCCATTGGTGGCTACTTCCAAATTTGGGATTATTCCATGTTTCTGTGGATAAGGAAGAAACATTTTAAAGTCTGGTTTCAGAGTAACAGCCGTGTTAGTCTGTATTCACAAAAAGAAAAGGAGTACTTGTGGCACCTTAGAGACTAACCAATTTATTTGAGCATAAGCTTTCATGAGCTACAGCTCACTTCATCGGATGCGTACTGTGGAAAGTGTAGAAGATCTTTTTATACACACAAAGAGGTATTTTTTCATGCTTTGTGTGTATAAAAAGATCTTCTACACTTTCCACAGCATGCATCCGATGAAGTGAGCTGTAGCTCACGAAAGCTTATGCTCAAATAAATTGGTTAGTCTCTAAGGTGCCACAAGTACTCCTTTTCATTTTAAAGTCTGGTGTTCAAACACTACAATTAGCTGAACATTCTTGCCCCTTTATATTTTGAGCAGTGGTTGCTTCATAACAAAAGCAATGAGAATGTGCCTTGTTCAAAGTTTTGACAGAACCGATCTGATCACCTTTTTAAAGTAGCTCTGTTGCTCAATATCTGACATGTTCCTTGGACAACAGCCCCTCGCCTATATTCACTATAATATATTAGGAGTGCCAACAACCACAGAAGAGATAGGTAAGAAGCAAATTCTTGAAATGAATGAGAGCAACATGTACATACGGCTTATCAGTGCTGGATAGCTGGAACCAGCTTTTCTGTCCAGTGCACCAGAAGAGAAACCAGCAACTGATTACTTAATTGCTTTAGCAACAAGAGTTTCTTCTGTTCTTATGGCATACCTTCAGTTGTTCCTTCAGCACAACCACCTCATCTCTGAGGTCATCCCGCTCACTCCTTATGGAATCAAAGAACTCTTTCTGCCTCTCTAACGCCTGAGCGTTCACAGAGCAAACAGACAGAAGGCAGGGAGACAACAAGAAAGGAGAAGAGACTATGTAAGGCAAGTTAGAAAAAAGAATAAGCAGGTTTCAGTTATTCAGAAATTAATGGAAATGACATGCACGAAAAGGAGAAAATTAAAAGATTAAAGGCTAAATTTACAAATTCATAAAAAATTTAAATCCAGTAAATATATAATTTAATCCAAAGATTCAGTTTGGGGAGTTCATAATAAATACTCAATCCCTGATAGCCTGTACTGTGTTGGGATTAGATTTTTCAGTAACTAGATACAATGAGGCAGCTAAGAACAGATTTTTATACTCTTGACTTTGAATTTCCTATAGTACTTTTGTGTGGGTGTGTTTTTTAAAATCAAAATACATTAAAGAAAGTATGAAAGCTGGTCTGACAGATCTCAGTGGCGTCCATGGAACTTTTGCAGTCTGTCATGGAAATAGTGTATATACCTCAAGTATGCAGCATGCAATACAAACTTTTATAAAATTCTCAGCTGTAGTGAAATTTTGACCATTCTAAATTGTGGGTTTCAAATTGCCATAAATCATTGGACAACATCATGGACAAACGACTTGCCAGGTTTCTTTTGTCCACCAAAGAAATGAGTCTCTCACATCTCATCTGTCACTGACTACCATATTTCTCTCTAGAAGTGCCACTGAGAGTTAACATTTCATTTACACTGGTGGGGGGAAATACGAAGATTTTCATCCCAAGAGTCCAAGGAGCTATAAACAAGCCCACTTTCTCCTTTCCCACAGTGCAGTTATGGTTTAAAAGAGTAAAGGTAATAAATTTGAATAGAAAACCAATTCCATTCAGCATTGAAACCACATCATGAATAGCCAGTATTTTACTAAAGGGCACTCCTTTCTTAGTTCTTCATATCCATGATGGGCGTGCACACATTTCACCATGTTATATGAACTCCAGTGAATTTTCAAATCTGGCCAGAAGATAAGCATTTTCTTGGACCTTATCTTTTAAGTTAAAGCCACAATTCAATGTAAAGAGTATATTTGACAGATTATGGGTCACATTGTATAGGGTAATATTTCATTCATGAAGTTTTGCAGGGGCGGAGTCTGCTAAAGAAGCTCAGTGTGAAACTGAGCAAATTTCAGAAGTTGTGTGCGTTCCTACCCCTATTTTTTTGTCTTTCCACTCTATCGTCTCCTGAAGATCAGAAATTTCCCTGATATAGCTCTCCTGTTTCTGTTGCAGCTGTCGGATTTCCTGAGGGGCAGGGACACACAAGGAGACAGAAAGCAGGTAAAGGGTTAATCAGAAGAAAAAGTCAAGATTGTAGTGATGCAAAGAACAATGAAATCAGGTGTTAAAATACAACAATCTACCTACATGCATCGCTCCCATACCCAACTGTTTTCATTCAAAGAGATGAATGCAACTCCTGAAACCTACCCTGCTAGGGACAGCCAACCTCTCATCTTTAGTATGACGACAAACACCTGTCTACTGGAACTATCTTGCTCTGAATCCTTACTTGAGTTTTATGCCATTGTCCTCTTTCTTCCAGCCTCTCCACAAGAAGGAGCCCAGAGCATAACAACTTATTCTGAGAAATTAAAGACAGCGTAACGTACAAATCCAACTACGAACAGTACTTCTGAAATATTTTTGTTTTATCAGCCCTAACCATTTCAGGTCTAACAGAATGAACCTACAGTACTGCATCAGATGAGAAATCTGGGGCAGAGACTAAGATTCCCCATTCCTGTCTGAGCCTTCTATCTTCTAACTGTTAGTTTGGAACACATGGATCAAACAACCACATTAAACACAATGGAGTAATTACCTACCTCGAGCATTTCTTCTCTTTGCTTCAGGGTCTCCTTGATTTCTGTGAACTGAAACTGCAATATGCTATGAGCATGCTTTTCCCGCTCAAATTCCTGGAGAGGCAAGGAAATATTTATTTGTCATGCATAATAATAATACCACCTAGAGCTTTTCATACACAGATCTCAAAGTGCTTTACAGATGAGGCAGTATCAATATCTCAATTTTAAGCTTGTTTGTCTGAGATTGGGACTGGGTTATTTCAAACCAAATGCTCAGTTTAGACACTGATCCACAATAAACTGGGTGGTGTGTCTCTTATGAAGGAAATCAGATTGTGACTGGGTTATTTCGAGCCAAATGTTCAATATAGACACTGATCCATAATAAACTGGGTGGTGTGGGTTTTGGGGCAGGGGGAGTGCACATCATTTACAGCACTCAAGCCCTGCTGACTTCAGAGATAATGACTAGGAATGGAACCTACCTTTTTCAAAAGGTAGAGTACTCCAGTGTGGCCAGTCCTTATTGTGAAATTTCAAAAGCAAACCATTTACCAAGAGCTATGCATGATGGAGGACACACTAACCAATATCTCATGAGTCAGAGATTTAGCTCCTGAGAAGTTACCACATAATCCCTAAGGAAATACTAGTTTGCACGAAAGTTAACTCAGTGAGGCTCATTCCATCACCTCAGTGAGGTGACAGTAATTCAAGTCAATAGTATATTTTCAATAGTTAAGCCCATGAATGCCTTAATTTGTTTAAGAAGTACTTCTCACACAACCTTCCTATGGCCTTTTGAATTAAGCTTTGTATGTAACCGTGTCCCAGAGGAAACAGGAAAGCCTTCAAAAGTTGCTAGGGATAACATTTCCTGGAGTCAGAAAGGCTTTTTGGATATTCTCTAAGTCAAAATGCAAATGAAATACATAAAGCTATACTGATGAGCTTGTATGCGAAAAAGTCACCATATCCTGGATATTGACTTATAAAATGTAAATCTCATATTCATGTGCCGGCAGATAAAGGCGATAAAGGCAAAAAAGGCAGCCAAGTTGCTAATGAGCGCTATTCAACAGGTAGATTTCTACATACTTGATTCATCCCCCTCTCCTTAAAAAAAAGTATTGTCTCTTCCCTGAAGATATTTTTTCAAACAACTTTCAGCTTCTCAAGAAGTGTTCATACTTACTTTGCTTTTCTCTTCATATTGCCTCCTGGATTCTGCCAGCTGTTCTTCTAACTCTAACAATGCATCCTTCAAGGTATCTACTTGGTACATGAAGTTTGTTTTTTCATTGTCTAGCTGTGCATTGGACACCATAGCCTTTTTATATTTCTCTTCAACTTCTGCTAGGGAGTCCTGAAGGCAAGAAATATGTAAGTACAGTGAGAAGTTACTTCAAAGAAAGCACTTTTATACGTTGCGAAGTATGCAAGCACATGCTTAAGTGTAGACACGCAAGCAGTCCAGCTGAATCAGCTGTTAACCATGGCTTAAGTAACTTTGCTGACTGGGACCCCAAACCTGGGAGAAGAGCTGGCAATATCTGTGCTTTTTGCGGTCTTAAATTAGGACTCTAGTATGTTTAATTAAAAATTGCAGTGACTGTACACTACCTTTTGGCTATGTGCACACTTAAAATGCTACAGAGGCACAGCTGCAGCACTTCAGCTTAGACACTCACTACAGCAGTCAGTCCACCTCCCCAAGAGGCAGCCGCTAGGTCCCCAGAATGTAGTGCTGTCTGCTTTAGGGGTTAGTTAGGTCAGCATAGCCACGTCCCTCAGGAGAGTGGATTTTTCAAACGCCTGAGAGAGACAGCTCTGTAATGTCAGTTTTCAGTGCACACCAGCCCTTTATACTGCATTTTTGGTTAGATTTTTGCTTCAGATGAAGTGTGAAACAAATTTTTTTCCATGCTTACCCCTTATTTTATTAGATCACCTTTCTCAACCTGTTCCTACTGTCTAGGCAATTCAGATTTATTAACTCAGGCTGAGCATGAGAACAGTTCACATATAATAATAGCTGAAATGTTGGCAAGATACAATGGTACCATTTTCCATGTTACACCGCAGGTCTAAAACCTCTCCAGGTATACAATTTGAATTAAGACCAACCTAACAGCAACTTTCAAACGCATTGCAGTGTAAGTATGCAGGCAAGAAACAAAAGAGGTGCCTAGACAGATGTCTTAATTTAAAGCTAGGCTCAACAATCCACCAGTTCATTAAGTCACATTGCTAGATTTATATGGACATCCATGATAAATTTTGGATATTATAATATTCCACTTCTACTAGATCCATAAACATTAAAGGGGGAAATACGCAGATTTTTAAATATGAAAAGATGACAAAATACGTAAGTTTCAAATTAAGAATCTATTTTGGAATACTATTAAAGTATAAGGCACTCTGACATTTTAAAGGTACAAGAACTTGTGTCTCATCATTAAATATGAATCATGTTACTGGTGCGTGTTGCAGGTGTACTGTATAAGACAAGAAATATCAGTTTCTGAAAGGGCAATCAGGAATCAAAGCAGCTACATGATTAATTAAATCCTTAAAATTAGTTGGCACGAACTTACACACTGTTAAGGGTTAAATGCAGAACCATAGAAGAACATGCCCAATTTTGTTTTATTAGTATTATCAAATTCTATCCCAACCCTGGACTATCTGTCATTTAATAATTCTAAATCTGAATACAGAGAATAAAACCACTAAAGACATAGCCTAAAATCAGATGGAGGTTTCAATCTATTCACTATTTAACACTTTTATTCTGTGAGGGGATGAATTTAGCTTGCTTAAAATGTTCCAGTCTCTTCCTGGCAAATTCTGAGGAAAGTTACTATTGCTGGAAATTAATTTTTAATTAAGTATATGTTCCACATTCTATGCCAAAAGCAAGATCAGAGGTGACTAAGCAAAACCGAAGTTGTTGGTCTTCAAAGACACAAGCAGACCTGGATAAAAATGCTACAAATGCACTTGAAGGGAACAATATTACAAAAGTCTAGTTCAAACTTATTCTCCAAAAGAGTAAGGTAGATTGGTTTGCAGAATCTAATATATATTTTGTGATCTAGAAGAGAAAAAAGTTTAGGCTTCATATATCTAAAAGATGCAAAAAAAGCACAAACTATTTTTTCCATTTGCAGGTCACATAAGATGCCAGTAACCGAATATCTTGTACTACTGAACAAATGAGGAAAAAGTATGAGAGAAAGTTTTAATTTTAATTAACAATTATGCTAATATGTACCATATTAGCATATCTGGTATGCCAAGTCCCCAGTACACTCATCTTTACATGCCTTCTGTTTTTCAAAACGCGAGCCAATGCAGCTGAATACGTAGTATAAAGTGTCAAACTGATACATTTATTTAGCTGCTACACCAAAATCCTTTTGTGCATTAATGGAATTTGTAGGCATTCCTCCCCTGCAGCTGCTGTGACAGTTTACCCCACACAATACGGAGGTTTTACCAGGGCTGCTTGTATAGCATGAGATATGATTGCCTCTCCTTCAGGTATGCATAACTTACCAATTGTTTTACTGGGACTCTCTACCAAGTACCTTTTAAAATACATTTACAGTATTTAACTTTGATTTCCCATGTCACTGAACTCCACAGGTTAGTTACATGCTTAATAATCAGCATTTACTTTTATTTTAAATTTACCCTCAAATTTTGAGTGATTTCCTGTTCTTGTATTATGGACATATTTTAAAAGGAGTAACTGATTGGTATTCTATATGCTCTAATCTTTATATTACAGTTGTTGATGGAGAATTAAATACATTCTCAAGACACCAAAATATAAGACATGCAGTAGTAAGAGTTCTCATTAATCACCTTTTCTACAGAGGCTAATAGAATATTTACATGTGCTGATTACCAAGAATTATCCAAAGAAATGATTACTGGTCATCAGCATGTTTTCCTCACTGATTAAATGCTTTTAGTTAATTCAAACCTCAGCATAAAAGCATGCAGGTTAAATTCTAGTTCTGTCCCTTGCTGTGCCTCTCTGAAAGTTTAGCTCATGTTAATATCACATGTTCAGTCTGCAATAAACCAGTACCTTCATTTCTTTCAGTCCCTGCATGTATTTGCCTTCTACATCCTGAATCTGGTTCTTTAACTCATTGATATCCTGAGGGAAATGGCAAGAAAAGTGAATGATATCAAGAAAACTAATGGGCAGTTATGACAGCTGAATGAGAAGCCGGTGTTCAAAATTCCCATTTACAGACACGTTTCTACTCTAGTTTGAGTTTTCTAAACTTCATTGTAAAAAGATTTACAGGCTTTTCAGCCAATCATCCTTCTTGAATAGACGTATATTCCTGTCCTAATAATTTTGATTGGGAAAATAGAATGTTTCTACAACAATAAGGATGGTCTTGTGGTTAACGAACTAGATTGTGACTCAGGGGATCTGAATTCTGTTTTCAGCTCTATCACAGGCTGTATGATATTGGGCAAGTCCCTTTCTATCTCTCGTTCTGCCTCAGCTCCCTATATGTAAAATCGGAATGCATCCGATGAAGTGAGCTGTAGCTCACGAAAGCTTATGCTCAAATAAATGTGGTTAGTCTCTAAGGTGCCACAAGACTTCCTTTTCTTTTATATTTCTCTACTAGCACCCAACAGCGGTGTTGTGAAGATAAATTTATTAGTGCATGTGAGGTGCTCATAGCTACATCACTCTATGATAAGTCTCAGAGAATAGGAACATGAGCATTAACAGGACACCCTAGGAAGTGTGGGAAATACCACTGGGAAATGGAATGAAGACATTCATTTTAATTATGAGCCCAATTAAAGCTTTACACAATCTCTCTCTCTCCTTGGTCACCTCCTGATGCCAGAACTGCAAAAGAAGTAAAATATTATAATTTGGAGGTGACCAAGGAAAGAAAAAGGGACTGGGTTTGTTTCCCACTTCCATAGTTTTTAATACCAGATGGAACTATTACGATCATCTAGTCTGATCTCCTGCATAACACAAGCCATAGTGTTTCGCCCAACCATTCCTACAGCAAGCCCATAACGTCCAGTAGTGCTACAGCATCTCGTTTTAGAACAGCTATGCACCATTTTTCCAAAAAATAAGATTTCTTTTAACCAACCAATAAAATTAAAATACAAAACATACCATAAGGTGGGTGAGGTAATACCTTTTATTGGACCAACGTCTGTTGGTGAGAGAGAGAGAGAGAGAGAGAAGCTTTCAAACTTACATGGAGTTCTTCTTCAGATCACCCGAAGAAAAGCTCCATGAAGGCTCATCTCTCTCACCAACAGAAGCTGGTCCAATAAAAGATAGTACCTCACCCCACCTTGTCTCTCTCATATCCTGGGGCCAAAATAGCTACACAACTCTGCATAAAACAGACCACAGTTACTGCCCACTTTTAGACTGCAAGAGGGCTAAATCTTTAGATGAATTAGGTGTTTCTGGTAACTCCTGCCAATATTGATTTGCATGTGTAATTTCCCACACATACTGATGGAGAAATATAAAACTATGCTTTTAAATAATTCCACTGCTTACTAAGTCAAACTTAGTGGGAAACTTCAAGACATGAAGAAATACATTCTGCCTGGCAAGAGACAGCTCCTACCAATACATGTCACTTACAAAGACTTCTTACCTTTATTTCTCTAATGGATGCCTCAGTATCAACGGAGATGGAGGTGTCCCCACTGCCTCTCCGGGAGGAAGTTCCACCCAGAGAGGCTAGCGTAGCTGCTGATAAGCTTGACACAGTACGAACTCCCTAGAACCATACACAGTTTAAATAAAATGGGTATAAAACAATCCTTTTTAAACACAAAAATGAATGCATGTGAATATTTTGAGAATGTGATCTGCCTCTTTATATGCATACCAAGTCAGAATGATCAAAATGATCTCTTTGGAACAAAGAAAGTTGTTTTCATTTATAGCAAATGGATCATCAGTAGACATGCTGTGCATCAGTGGGTCACAAAAGAACTTCCGTTGAACAAATTTTATGTCCTGAGATTTTTCAGATCATTTATAGTATGACTACTGATGGAGACAGAAGCCTTCACCTTGAGGGCATCAGTTCAAATTTGGAACAGGATGAAATTGACTGACAGAAGTTACCATCAGATATCTAATTGGTGAGCTATGAGAAGCAAGTCTGTGCCTTTAATTCAGTCCAATTCACAGTAGAGAAGTGTCCAACACCACCAAAATTATATAATTGGCACTCACGTTGGCAGTCCCAGCAGCGGCCAGTGTTTAAGTACAGAGCCTCAGATGAGAGTTTTACTTCATTACAATGAGGCAAGGTGAAGCTCACTGAATTTATTCTGTAATATTCAGATATTTTTAAGGCCAGAAAGGACAATCTTGTGTGGCCTCCTGTAATATCACAGAAATTTCACATCAAATTTCACCCAGTTACCTCTGCGTTGAGTCCAATAGCTTGCATTTGACTATAACATTTCTTCCAGAAAGGCACTCAGTTTTGATTTGAAGATCTCAAGAGATGTAGAATACACCACTTCCGTTGGTAGTATATATCAAAGGTTAATCATCCTTAACGCTGCGAGTCTGTCTCAGATTCTGCAACTTTCCATGACCTCCATGACATCTGCAGTGGCTGGCTCAGGGGCTGCCTGAGCTCGGCAGCCCTAGGGCCAGCAGCAGCAGTTTCAATGTGTGGGAGAGGGCTCAGGGCTAGGGACAGGGGGTTATGGCGTGTGGGGGATGCTTACCTCAGGGTGGGGGGCTCCCTGGCTCCCACTGGCATGGCCCTGCAGTTCCTAGGCAGAGGGAACAGGGGGGTCCTGGGCTGTATGCTGCTACCGCACCCCCACCCTGCCATCACCAGCAGGTTCCCGGGCCACCTCCTTGGCACTCCTGGACTGCCCCCCGCAGCCCCATGCCCAAGTTTTAGTTTGGGGTATATAGTAAAAATAATGGACAGGTCACAGGCTGTGAATTTTTGTTTACTGTCGTGACCTGTCCATGACTTTTACTAAAAATACCCGTGACTAAAATGTAGCCTTAATCATACTCCACTGCTAAAAAATTGTGCCTGCAATAGGCTATACCTCTCTGACACCCCCCTGGAGAGAGAGTGGGCTCTGCTCTTGCCTCAGAGTTGGGGGCACTGCTCTCTGGCTGTGCTTTTTAAGATGTTGGCCCCCTTGCAAGAGGAAGTTAAAGCAGTTTAAACAAGAAGTTAGTATTCTTCCACAGCAAGCAGAGTTGTAGTCCTTTGGGAATCTGAAGAAGAAATGAGAAAAGTACCTCTTTTCTGAGAGGGCCTGGGCAGCCATGGTCTCAAGCTGGTTCCCTAGTCAGCACTTTTAGGGGATGGGGACCTCGGAGTTGCAGTCCTGTTCCTTCAGAATATCACTCTGCACTGAGCAGGGATCCGGATCCTCCCTTTTCATGGCCTGCCCCACTCTAGGTTTGACAAGCCTCACAGATGTACTGGGTTGAGGCTGATTGCACCCAGAAGGGCTCTTTAACCCCTCTCCTGACTGGGTGGGGGTCTACTCCACCACAGCACCTTATTTCTAATTTGAATTTGTCTGGCTTTAACTTCCAGCCATTAATTCTCGATCTCTGCTAAATTAAAAAGGCCTTTTAGTGCCAAGTATTTTCTCTGCATCAAGGTACTTACACACCATAATCAAGTTAACTCTGTCACCTTTTTGATAAGCTAAACGGATTGATCTCTTTAAGTCTCATTTTAACACTTTTTCCCCCTGCCCTTGAATCATTTTTATGGCTCTTTTCTGTACCCTCTGATTTTTCAACATATTTTTAAAACGTGACCACCAGAACTGGACACAGTATTGCAGTATTGGTCTCACCAATGCTATATACAGAAGTAAAATCATGGAATCACAGACTATCAGGGTTGGAAGGGACCTCAGGAGGTCATCTAGTCCAACCCCCTGCTCAAAGCAGGACCAATCCCCATTTTTTGCCCCAGATTCCTCATTGAACTGGGTTTAGCAGGCCAATGCTCAAACCACTGAGCTATCCCTCCCCCCCCCCCCCGCCCCATTTTGTTCTGCATCTGTGTGGAACCGAGCACTAGGGAGTCTTTGGCATGACTGGGGTTCCTCGACCCTGCGGTAATCCAGCAGCATCAAGGGCCAGGTTCAGTATCTAGGGGTTTCCTTTCAACAATACAACACAGAACTGGCTCGAGCCCCCACCCAGTGACCTATCGCTTAAATCGACTTCTGTACCAGATGACTGGTAAACGTGTTGATAAATGTGAAGTAACACGCATTGGAAAACATAATCCCAACTATTCCTACAAAATGATGGGATCTAAAGTAGCTATTACCACTCAAGAAAGATCTTGGGAGTCATCATGGATAGTTTTCTGAAAACATCCACTCAGTGTGCAGTGGCAATCAAAAAAGCTAACAGAATGTTAGGAACCATTAGGAAAAGGATAGATGATAAGACAGAAAATATCATTATGCCACTATATAAATCCATGGTATGCCCACACAAATACTGGGTGTAGTTCTGGTCACCCCCATCTCAAAAAAGATACATAAGAATTGGAAAAGGTACAGAGAAGGACAACAAATATGATTAAAGGCATAGAACACCTTCCATATAAAAGATTTAAGAGACTGGGACTTGTCAGCTTGGTAAAGAGACAGCTGAGGAGGGGGATATGATAGAGGACTATAAAATCATGAATGGAGTGGAGAAAGTGAATAAGGAGGAAGTGAATAATTTACTGTTTCACATAATACAAGAACTAATGGTCACCCAATGAAATTAACAGACCACACGTTTAAAACAAACATAAGGAAATACTTCTTCACAAAACATATAGTCAACTTATGGAACTCATTGCCAGAGGATGTTGTGAAGGCCAAAACCATAACAGGGCTCAAAAAGAATTAGATAAGTTCATGGAGGATAGGTCCATCAATGGTGATTAGCCAAGATGGTCAAGGTCACAACCCCATGCTTTGGGTGTCGCTAAGCCTCTGATTGCCAGAAGCTGGGTGTACATAACAGGGCACAGATCACTTAATAATTGGCCCAGTTCTATTAATTCCCTCCGAAGCATCTGGTATTGGCCACTGCCAGAAGACAAGCTCTTGGCTAAACGGACCACTGGTCTGATCCAGTATGACCATTCTTATGTTCTTACTATATGAAGCTATATCCTGTCATGGATTTTATTCAAAATTAGTGCAAATTCAATGCAAGTTTAACATGGAAAAGTGGTAAGATATGTGTTATGATCAATATAATTAATGTCAACTCTCTTACCTTCTCAAAGTCTTTTTCTGGCCTTTCTTCAACCTGCAAACAAAAGAGATTATTTAGAAGCAATAATTGGATAATATTGGACAAAGGGAAGACAAAATAAGCCAGGCTGTTTGCTTTTAAACCTAGCTCTGAGGAAGAAGGTTCACTGGCAAGATATTCTGCTCAAAGAACAACCACAACACAAAGCACTGTAATAGCATTTGTGGGAGGAAGCAGTCTGGATCACACCTCTCAAGCCTTCCTTGGTGTACAGTACATTTTAAGATGGGGTATTCTTCTAACTGATAAAGTGAAGCTTGTGAACTTTTCTGTTAGGACTGCTCATATGTTATATAAATGCTCTTTACCTTAATCAAGAAAGCCATATTTCAAATAATTTCAAATCATTCAGAAATTAGACAGGTGTATAGGCCACATATAAATCACTTGGAATAGAAATCCATATCCAAATCTCAGCCACCCAAGAGCATACTCCAGATTAGAAACTAATCTATAATAAGATGCTGAAAAGGGGGGTAGAAAAAGAAAAGATGAATGAGATTAACCAGAAGGTGGTCTTGGGGTGGGCATAACTTTGTTATAGCTCTGTTCTTTAAATTAAAAATAAAATATGAAGAGTGTGTCTCACACATGGAGGAGACAGGAGAAAATAGACAGGCACAAGGAGGGGCCCTTGGCATCTATATAAATCCTCCCAATGTAGTGCAAATGATCAGATGGTAATCTATCCTGAAGAGCAAGGGTTGAGGTCCCATTGGCAGAGAATGTACCTCCTTTGGATTGCAAAGAGAAGTAGTCCAAGTGTTCAAGGGGAGAGTACAGTGGTTTAGGGAACGAGATGGGCAGCAAAAATCCGCAAATTTGAAATTTCAGTTCCAAACACAACAACAAAAAATTCCCATGAAACTACATTCAAGAAGTTTTATTTTGGATAAAAATATTTCAGCCTGATAAAACATCTTGTTCCAATTTCACCTTTTAAAATGTTATATAATATAAAATGGAACTAAAAAATAACTTTAAAAAAATCAAAATGTTCTTTTCCGAATAGGCTGAAATGGAACATTGACCTTATTTGAAAAAATGGAACAGAGCATTCCAAGTAAAATTTTGTCCATCTCTGTTTAGGGCTCAGCAATTCAGTCATTTGAGGACTGATGCAGATGCTATTTTGGTATTTTATTTTTGGATTTAAAGGAAGGTGAACGCAGAGGGAGGGGCTGCAAAGGTAGTAAAAAGAATTAATAAAGGAATTAACTATGGAAGTACACAAGCAGAAATCAAGCCCACTCAAACACACAATTATGAATACAATATAATTAGAAATGAAACATTTGCCATACAATGGTTCATGCCTTCAAATAGCCAAAGAAACATACAACTTTCAAGTTTTGGAAAAGCTAACGAGTTATCAGTGTCTTTCCCTTTAAGGTATCATTTTTGAATGTCAAAGGGCAACGTAATGTCATTAAAAGGAAAAAAGGTCTGGTAGAACTAAAAAAATCCCTCAGATTATTTCACTTCAAGAAACTCATTTTCAGGAGAACCAGATTGTGGCAGGAAAGAATTGGTTTCAAGATTACTTTTTTATTTCTTTCAAAGGCATATTTGCTAAACACAGGCATTTTCAGATTAATGATCATTTTAATAACAAAGGATGGTTTATTTTATTAAACAGCACAACTGCTGAGTTATTATCAATAGTGGGCTCAGTCTAGGATCCAAGTCAAAAGCAAAGAACATTTTAAAAACATTTCTTTCAAATACTGCAACACTTTGGGAAGGGTAAATCCTACTTGGAAAAGCCTTCAAGTGTAGACCAATTTCTTACTGGGACAAATCTGATAGGTAAGAAAAAATAGATAAAGAAATAGGTGTAGCATTAACCTTTTTTGTACCAACTACTCCAACTCAGGTTACCAGAGATCTGGATGATGGGATGGACTGCACTCTCAGAAAGTTTGCGGATTACACTAAACTGGGGGGAGGAGTAGATACGCTGGAGGGTAATGATAGGGTCCAGAGTGACATAGACAAATTGGAGGATTGGGCCAAAAGAAATCTGAGGAGGTTCAATAAGGACAAGTGCAGAGTCCTGCACTTAAGACAGAAGAATCCTATGCACTACTATAGGCTGGCGATCGACTAGCTAATCAGCAGTTCTGCAGAAAAGGACCTGGGGATTACAGTGGACGAGAAACTGGATATCAACAGTGTGTCCTTGTTGCCAAGAAAGCTAACAGCATATTGAGCTGCATTAGTAGGAGCATTACCAGCAGATCAAGGGAAGTGATTATTCCCCTCTATTCGGCTCTGCTAAGGCCACATCTGGAGTATTGCATCCAGTTTGGCGCCCCCGGAAAGGATGTGCACAAATTGGAGAGAGTCCAGCAGATGACAATGAAAATAAGTACAGAGCTGGAGAACATGATTTATGAGGAGAGGCTGAGGGAACTGGGCTTATTTAGTCTGCAGAAGAGAAGAGTGAGGGGGGATTTGCTAGCAGCCTTCAACTACATGAAGGGGGGTTCCAAAGAGGATTGAGGTAGGCTGTTCTCAGTGGTGGCAGGTGACTGAACAAGGAGCAATCGTCTCAAGTTGCAGTGGGGGAGGTGTAGGTTGGATATTAGGAAAAACTATTTCACTAGGAGGTGGTGAAGCACTGGAATGGGTTACCTAGGGAGGTGGTGGAATCTCCATCTTTTAAGGGTCGGCTTGTCAAAGCCATGGCTGGGATTATTTAGTTGGTGTTGGTCCTGCTTTGAGCAGGGGGTTGGACTAGATGACCTCCTAAGGTCTTTTCCAACCCTAATCTTCTATGATTCTATGAAATGCTGGTTTCTAAATCTTTAATGAAGCAGACAAGATCTGCAGAAACTGGCATGGCCAAATAATCCCATTACAAGTTATACTGCATGGTTGAGGTGGGTCTCAAAGATGATGTATGGAAAATGAGTTTGATTCTCCAGGACAAAAACTGGACGACAACAATTAATGAGGACATTGTTCAATATTTTCAAATGATATAAATGTAAAGAGTTATCTTCTATGGGATGCATTTGGAGAAGTTTTTAGGGGTCAGCTGATAAGCAGAACCTCTCAATTGAAAAAGGAGATTAAGAAAAATTAAAATCAGAAGAGATTCATAAAACTCCAGGTTCAAAAAAGTATATAAATAGTTAACTAATATTAGTGGGAAACTAAATATGTTGATGACACATGCCACTGAAAAAGCCCTTAGATACATAAAGCCGATATTTTATGGAACAGGAAATAAATGTGGTAAATTACTGTCTTAAACTTATAGGGATTCAAAAGCAACCATTATGCCACCAATTAACAGCCAGCAACAGATACACACCCTAGTGATGCGTGCTACTTTTGCTGCTTATTATAAACCCACTCTACTTCAGATACACCAAGCTCTGAAGTGATTCAAAAATATCTGGAAGTAGCAGGCTTGCCAAAGATACATGAAATTGATAAAGAAACTGTAGATAATAGAAGAAGAAATCTTAGAGGCAACACCAAGCATGGAAAGTATGCAAATTCCAATATCTGATGGCTCTTCAGGTGAGTTTTATATGGTAATTTAAGGAGAATAGTAGGTCCCTTGAGAGATCCCTTTAGGGACATTTTAAGCTCCAAGCTAAGGCCTTGTCTACACCATAATGTTAGAGTGACACAGGCCACCTTGTGTCAACCTAATTGTGCATAAGTCTACACTTAAATTTGCCTCCCACCAATGTAAGTGCTCCATTATGCCAACAGAGTAACAGCACCTTCCCAAGTGGCACTGAGCCATGGTCCATGTATTGAAGTCGACACAGCAAGAATGTAGATATTGCATTACCTTTGTCAACCCTAACAGTCCTCCAGTCCACAATGCCCAATACTGACTGCTCTGGTCACAGTTGTCAACTCACTGTCCAGGGTCACAGAGACCAGAAGTCCCCCACCCCCATTAAAACCCCACAAATTTTTGAAATGCCTTTTCCTGATTGTCTATCTTGGCAAGTACACCTAGCAGCTCTCCATTGTTGTGTGCAACTGCCCAACCAGCCATGGTGGCTACACACGCCAGACATGCTCCTGCCTGGAGCAGACAGGAGATATTTTATCTGCAGGGCCTGTGGAGAGAACAGGCTGTGCAAGCACAGCTATGGACCAGCCACAGAAACATGGACATCTATGAGCATATTGTACAGGAGATGCAGGGGAAGGGGTGCGACAAGGATCAGCAGCCGTGCTGTGTGAAAGTAAAGGAACTGCAGCAGGCATATCAGAAGGCCAGAGAGGCCAACAATCAATCTGGTGCTGAGCAGCAGACCTTCTGCTTTTACAAAGAGTTGCATGTCATATTTGGCAAACACCCCACTGCTACCCTACACACCACTGTGGATACTCCAAGGCCCCTAGTGTGAACAGTGAGGAGAGTGGGGGTCCTGTGACTGCGGGGTCCAGCTATTCCACGAGTCAGGAGCTGTTTGAGATTCCACTGCAGTCCAGTCAGTGCCAGCAGTTGAGCACAGGGAATCCTGATGCAGGGGAAGGAACCTCAGGTACATGTGTAATTGTATTTCCCACTACAATGATGTACTGATCCCTCCCCCCAGCTTAGCAGGACACAGGTACTGACTTTTCATTAATTTACTTGTACTAGAAGAGGCAGTGGTACAATAAAGAGGTAGAGTTGCTATCGGTTTTTCATTGCCCTGCAGAATTAGTAGGGGGGCCATATGGAGCAGTTTATGTACATAGGGGTTTCCCTTGAATCCTCTTCAGAGATCTTAGTGAAACTTCCATGGAGGTATATTGTAAATCCTCTCCCAAAAGTTTCTAGGGATGGCAGCCTTATTTCTTCCTCCACAGTAGGACACCTTCCTATGCCAGCTAGCAATAACTTCAGCAGGCACCATTGCAGTCAACAGGCTAGCAGCATAAAGGTCTGGGTGGCTTTGAGACGCCAGCAACAGCTGTGCTCTCTGTGCCTTTGTTACCCTCAGAAGTGAGATTTCAGCTAAATTCACCAT